CCAGTCTGGGTGACAGAGTGAGACTCCAACTCAAAAAAAATAAAAATAAAAATAAAAAAATAAAAAGACTCCAATGCAGGGCATGGTGGCTTACACCTGCAATCTCAGCAGTTTGGGAGGCTGAGTTGGGAGGATCGCTTGAACCCAGGAGTTCAAGACCAGCCTGGGCAACATAAAAAGAACATGTATCTGTCAAAAAAAAAAAAAAAACTGAGCATGGTGGTACACCTGTAGTCCCAGCTATTTGGGAGGTTGAGGAAGGTGGATCCCTTCAGCCCAGGAGGCTGAAGTCGTAGTAAACCATGATCATGTAACTGTACTCCAGGCTGGGCGACAGAGTGAGACCCCTACTCAAACAAAAAAAGAAAACACACAAATGTGTTCACATGAACATGGAGATGGAATGATAGACAATGGAGACTTGGAAGGATGGAGGATGGGGGGGAAGATGATAAGAAACTGGTTAGTGAGTATAATGTATGTTATTTAGGTAGACATCCTAAAAACCCTGACTTGACCACCACACAATCTATGCATGTAACAAAACTGCACATGTACCTCATAAATTTATACAAATAAAAAAGGAAAAAAATTAGTCATTTATTTTATTCTATTTTGCCTCTGTATTAGATTATTTGTGGTATAAGATAAATAAATTGTGTTATTCAACCTTGAAAGAAAGAGACAGGTAAAACAAAACAAAAGAATGACACACTTATGACAGCAGGGCAGTTTAGACACGCAAAGGGTCTTGCCACTCTAAAGTAATGACATTCTAGATAAAATACATTTATGGGTGCGCCATTGGTCTCAAAGGAAGTAGAGAAAATCTCTTTGCTTTGCTAACTGCTTAGCCAAAAAATAAGTAAATAATAAACAAAAAAATCCTCAGAATTGAAGCTAAAGATGGAAGCAGGGAAGAGGAGGGAGACACAAGGAGGAAGGGTGAGGAGCAGGCAGGAACAGAGGGGAGGAGGGAGAGGAAAAGGGAAAAGGAGAGGAACAGGGAGAAGAGGAAGGAACAGGGAGGAGGCGGAGGAACAGAAGAAGGGGAGGACGGCGAGGAAAGGGAGGAATGGGGAGGAACAGGGAGAGGAAAAGGGAAGAAGGGTGGAACAGGGACAAGGAGAAGGAACAGGGAGGAATAGGGAGGAGGGGAGGAACAGGAGGAATGGGGGGAGGAGGGGAGGAAGGGGGGAGAGAGAGGGAGAGGAAAAGAGAAGAAGGGAAGAACAAGGAGGAGGGGAGGAACAGAGAAAATGGAGGAGGGGAGCAACAGAAAGAAGGGAAAGGAAAAAGGAGGAGGGTAGGAACCAGGAGGAACAAGGAGGAGTGGGAGGAATAGGGAGGAGGGGAGGGAACCAGGAGGAGTGAGAGGAACAGAGAGGAGAGGGAGGAGGGGGAGGTATTGGAGGAATAGAGAGGAGTGGGAGGAATAGGGAAGAGGGGAAGAAACAGGGAAGGAGTGATGGGAAGAACTAAGAGCAACTAGGAGGAACAGGGAGGAGGGGAAGAAACAGAGGAACAGGGAGGAGGGGGAGGAACAAGGAAGAAGAGGAGGAACTTGGAGAAACAGGGAGGAGGGAGAGGAACAGAGAGGAGGAGAAGAAACAGAAAAGAGGGGGAGGAACACCAAGGAGGGGGAGAAACAGGTAGGAGGGGAACAGGGAGGAAGGAGAGGAACAAGGAGTAGCATGGAGGAGGAGGAGTAGGGAGGAACAGAGAGGGGTAGGAACAGAGAGGAGGGGAAGGAACAGGGAGGAGGGGAGGATCAGGGAGGAGTAGGGATGGGGAGGAGTAGGGGGAGGAGGAGGAGGAGGAGTAGGAAAGAGTGGTTGTCCTCAGAGCACCTATGGCTGTGAAATATCCTCCCAACAAGATGAAGCTGCCAGGATAAGTCCGGAACACTGAAAGTTAAGAATTACCATGTAATTTGAAAGACGGCCTGCTTTGCATGGCTAAAAGAAAAATGCTATAAGTAACAGATTCAGACTTACAAGGACCCCAAAGGCCAGAATTATGAGCTACAGAAAATAAAGGTAGGTATGGGATGCTTAGAGAATGGCTCCAAAAGAAAGAAAGTACTGAAACACTAACAGGAATGGTTAAGTAGATCTGGACAGGAAATAAGTGGACCCCCTATAAATAAAAACAAATTTTAAATCAAAATTCCATGGCTATTTTACCCAAAATAGAGGAAACAAGGCAATCATGTTCATCCTCAGTATTTTATTAAAGATCTTACTTAGCCAGTGCATAAGGCCAGAAAATGCACTCAAAGGCAAAATGATTGGCAAGAAGTAAGACCGTTCTTAATTCATATGTGACACAGTTGTTTACAAAGAAATCATAAAGAATTTATCAGAATAATCTAGAATAAGTAAACTTATTGAAATTGCAGTCTATATTGACAATACAACCTAACAAACTTTATTTCTACATGTAAACGGCAAACAAATGAAAAATTATAACAACAATTTTGGCTTACAACAGTACTGAAATAAAAATACTTCAAATAAACTTATAAAATATATGCAATACCTTCATACCAAAAATTAAACACTACTGAGAAAAATTTTAGAAGACCTAAACTACCCATACTCATGGATTGGAAGATTTGTATTGTTAAAATGTCAATTCTCTACAAATCAACTTAAAATAAAAACCACAATCACAACACTCTCATTTATAGAAAATAAACCTAAAAAGTCTCTTTTTTCTTTTAGAGTGTCACTTTGTCACCCTGGCTGGTGAGCAGTGGCATGCTCATGGCCACCACAGCCTCGACCTGCTGAGCTAAGGAGATCCTTCCCCCTCAGCCTTACAAGGAGCTGGAACTACAGGCACGTGCCACCATGCCTGGCTAATTTTTTGACTTATTGTAGAGACAAGGTCTCACCAGGTTGCCCAGGCTGATATCAAACCCCTGGGCTCAGGCAATCCTCT